GAGAGCCCCAGGCGGGGAAGCTGGGTATGGACCTATAGGCCTGTGGCAGCGTCCACAATTAGCCCTTGAATAGCAAAGCTGTTCCTCGACTTTGGGCCGAGCTCTTCTGTACTCTCTCCTCTCACAGAACCTCTTTCTTCCTGTCAGAGTACTTGCCTCCACTTGTTGTAAAGGTTCATTCATCAGTGTGAGTCACTGTCAGGCTCACCTTTGGCCTGGACGCTCCATGAAAGCAGGGAGTGCATCTGTGTTTGGGGGTATGTCATAACAAGCATGGTGCCGGTACATGGGGCGCTCAACACATACTTGTGAAATGAATGATGATATTATTCAGGACTCTTTCATAAATGATCTCACCCACAGCCATGGCTTCAACCACTCTGCAGAGGCTGACAACACTCAAATGCCTATCTCTAGCCCAGTTCTTTCCTCAAGAATCATGTATCAAAGAGTCTACTCAGCATTTTCACATGAGAACGTTAGAGCATCTCAATGGCACTGACAGGTCCAAAACTGAACTTGTGAACGCCCCACTCCCTGGTTAGTTTCTCCTCAAGTGCTCTTCATTTTAGGAAGTGGGGCCCTGTCCACCTGTACCAGGGCTTCCAGTCTTGACACCTCCTTCTTCGTCATTCCTGTATCTCTTGTCCATCAGCAAAACCTTTCATTCCCACCTCCTGAATTATCTGCATTACAATCACTTCTCTCCATACACCATGGTGGTTAAGAGTGCAAACTCTGGAGTGGGTTGACTGGCTTTGAAAATAGGTCCCTCCACTTAACTAGCAACTTGCTTAACTCCTCTGGACCTTATTTCCTTGTCTACAAAATGGAGATAATAATAACAGTATGCGCTTCATAGGGGTTTTTTGAGAAGTCAGTAGGATAATGCATAAGCTGTGCTTTCAAAAGTGCTAGCTGCTATCATCACCACCATCACCTTGACCTTTGGCATCAGCATTACCATCACCACCATCATCATCACCATCATCATCACCATCATCATCATCATGATGGTGACCTTTTGAGTGTCTGACACTATTAACCACCCTTTCCTCAAATTTTCTTCTACCTTTATCTCCCCTGCTTGTCACCACCACCACCACCATCACCAACAACACCATCACAAACATCATTATCACCATCATTATCATCAACATTACCATCACCATAGCTATATCCCAATCTAAGATACCATCATCTGAATTACTGCAATACCACCTAACATCTCCCTGCATCCATTCTTGCCTTCTCCCAATCTATTTCCAAGTGATCTTTAAAAATGCAATCCGGCATCATTCATATGCTTAAACAATATCAGTGACTTCCCACAAGAGATGGGGTAAAATCCAAAATCGTGAATGTGGTTTAAATAGCCAATCTTGGCCATTCTTTAGCCTCAGACCTGCCCTGTGCCTTACCACTTCAGGACCTTCTGCTGGTAAAACTCTGAAATGTTGCTTATACTCCTTATCTCTCTGACTGCACAATGCCTTCTGCCCCCATCTCTCCATTGAAGATGTCTAGCAAAAAGTCATTATTGAGCTTGTTACTGAGTCGAATAAACTTATTTTTAGCCTTATCTGATTTGACCTTTTGAGTGTCTGACACTACTAACCACTCTTTCCTCAAATTTTCTTCTACCTTTGTCTCCCCTGCCCGTTCTTTTGTTTATTTTTATCTTTCTCTGGATGATTTATCTTTTTCCTTCACCTGTTCCTCCTTCTCTACCAGCCTCTAAGAAGTGATTTCCCAAGGTTTCCTCATTGAAACTCTTTTTCTCTTGCTCTACTCAATCTCTGTGGGTGATTCTATCCATTCACATGGTATCCGTTGCTTAATGACTCTTGAATCTTCAACTGTAGGTCCTTCCTCCCTCCTGAGCTCCAGGTCCACTTTTCTCCACGAGGGTGTTTTTAATAAACACAACACATGTTAAAGCTGAAATCTCAGAATACCCTTTCTCTGTTAGCTCAATGAATGGTACCATCACCCATTCAGTTGCCTAAGCAAAAGCTTGAGTCACCCAGTCTCCTATCTTTATCTCCCTCCCTACATCTAGTTAATCATCAAATTCTGTTGGTTCTGCCTCCTTGGATGTACTCAGATGTATTGACTTGTCTCTGTTCCCAATACCTTAGTTCAAGCCCTCCTCATTTCCCACCAGCACTGTGGCCACAGCTTCCTAACCCAATTCCCTTTCCTCTCTCCTGCCTTTTTTGTACTGCTATCAAAGTTTAGGGAAAAGAGATTCCTAAATGATTTTTCCAGAGAACTAGTGGCCCAACTTTTTAAAGAAGGGGTTCTTAGGCCATTAAGAAATGGCTAAAGGAAACAGCCCCTCTGTGGTCCTTTCTTAGTGATCCACTATGCATATCAGCATATTTAATGCTCTGATAAGTCTTCTTGCAAAGAAATCTGTTCAGAATTGTTTAATCAAGCATCTCTCAAACTTCTTTGACCATAAAACTCCTTTTCCAGGACACATTTCCTAATATCTTGCAGAATACTATGGACTATTCAAAGCACAAATCTGATCATCTTACTTCTCTATTTGAAAATATGACAGATAAGTGGATAAACACCAAAAGAAACTCTTGGAGATTCCTGAGCAGGGTAACGACCTAATATCCACACAATCAATAGCTTCCAATGATCGAGCTCCTACTGTAGGTAGGTGTTTCTCACTTATCTCTAATCCTTACAACAAGGCTACCTGTGGGCACAATCCCCAGTGAGGAAACTGAAGCCAGATTGGTTAAGTATTGGGTCTAAGGCCATAAAAACAATAAATAGAAAGTATTTGGCTCAAGGTCTAGGTGACTTTAAAGCCATGGCTACTTGTGATAAATAGGTGATATCTTGCCTGCAGGATTGGAAACAGGAAAAACAAGAAGGCTTGGACATAAATTCCTAGAAGGCCCCACATCTTTCTTTGTTTTCCATCTCTTTTCTCATAACCCTCGATGGTGCCTCGGGTGCTAGCCATTCTTCTTAAACTTGGGTCTCATTGCCCAGCAAGACATCAGGCAGCTCCAGGAAAGCCTCTCCCTGCTTCAAAACTGTGTTTCTTCCTGGTGCCTGAACAAGTCCACATTCCTCAGCCTGATATTCCACACCCTTTCTTATCTGCCGTCAACATTTCATTTCTGATCCTGACTTTATACACTTTTCTGAATATAAGCCATGCTCCGGCCAAACAGAACTACTCACTGTTTAGCAGCCTCTCTGCCTTTGTTCTTGCTGTTCCCGCCTCGTGGAAAGCCTTCTGCTCTCCACAGAGCTGGCTTCCAATCTGCCTATCCTTCCGGTCCCTTTGCACTAACTCCACAGAACACATTCTGGTCTGGACCATCCAGATGCTCTCTGGTTTTCAGTAGAAAGTCAGGAAGGTGCCCCCAGATTTGGAGGTCAGGTTAACTTCTGGAAATTACACCAGCAGAACCCACAGTGGATGGCATAAGCTATCTGTAAAGACGACACACCCAAAGGAAGGCTCAAGAAGGAGAGAGTTAAGGAGATACGAAAACACCCTTCTGGAAGAAGGTGTCCAGGGCTTACTCGAAGGATACAGTTGTACCTACGTATCCGGAACCATGAGATGAGCAAATAAGGCCCTAATCCAATCGGTTACAGGAAACAGAGGGAGTAACCAAACCATAATCAATTGTAATAACTGGCCAAGGCAGTGACCTAATCAATTACATTCTGCTCTGGTGTGTTGAAGCATAGCGTGTGCTGTAATAGATGGAAGGCAGCCAAGCAGACAGATGTGCAGAGGTTCTGTGCTGCCAGCACCAATCCGAAGAGATACTCACTGAGTTGCGGGGATGCTGACTTTTAGGACAGGGGAAGGATTGGTAAGGAGAGGATTGGAGAGGATTCATCCAGACCTGGTTAGTTTTCCCAAAAGTCCCCTGCTGCCTTTGTTCAAGGAAACAACCTTTTGAGAACCAATTCAGCTTTCTTTCGCAATCGTCGCAATCGTCAGAAAGGAATATTCTGGGCAATAAAAAGGGATGTCCTCATTGTATCTACCTCATGAGGTCATTGGGAAGATTCAGTGAGATATGCTGTAGAGGATTGATCCAGGCGTACATGGTAATGTCAATAAATGTAGGCATTTCAATC